CTTCTCCTACTCTTCTTCTTCTTCTTCTTCTTCTTCTTCTTCTTCTTCTTCTTCTTCTTCTTCTAGTTCCTCTTCTTCCTCTTCTTTTTTTCTTTTCCTTTTCTTCTTCTTCTTCTTCCTCCTTCTTCTCTTACTCCTCTTCTTCTTCTTCTTTTTCTGATTCTTCTTCCTCCTCTTCTTCTTCTTCCTCCTCCTCTTCTTCTTCTTGTTCGCCTTCTTGTTCTTCTTCCTCTTCTTCTTTCTTTTCCTCTTGTTTTTCTTCTTCTTCCTCTTCTTCTTCTTCTTCCTCCTTCTTCTCTTACTCTTCTTCTTCTTCTTCTTCTTCTTCTTCTTCTTATTATTATTTTTATTCTTCTTCCTCCTCCTCTTCTTCTTCTTCCTCCTCTTCTCTTCTTCTTCTTCTTCTTCTTCCTCCTCCTCTTCTTCTTTTTCTTCCTCTTCTTCTTCTTCTTCCTCCTCCTCCTCCTCCTCCTCCTCCCTATCTCCCTTCTCCTCTTCTTCTGTCTTCTTTCTCTTCTTCTTCCTCCTCCTCTTTCTCTTTCTCTTCTTCTTTTTCTTCCTCCTCCTCTACCTCTTCCTCCTCCTCTGCTTCATCCTCTTCTTCTTCTTCCTCCTCATCCCCTTCTTCCTCCTCTTCTTCTTCTTTTACCTCTTCATTTTCCTCTTTCTCATTCTTTTCTACTTCTTGTTCTTCTTCCTATTTTATTCTTCCTCTTCTTCCTCCTTTTTCCTTGTTGTTCTTCTTCTGCTTCTTCTTTTTCTTTCTCTTCCTCTTCTTCTTCTGTGAAATGTTTTTGTATGGGCTGTTACCTTACAGTTATTGTAGCAGTTTTTGTATGGGCTGTTATCTTACAATTATTGTAGCAGTTTTGTATGGGCTGTTATCTTGCAGTTATTGCAGCAGTTTTGTATGGGCTATTGCCTTACAGTTATTGTAGCAGTTTTGTATGGGCTATTGCCTAACAGTTATTGTAGCAGTTATTGTATGGGCTGTTGCCTTACAGTTATTGTAGCAGTTTTTGTATGGGCTGTTGTCTTACAGTTTTTGTATGGGCTGTTATCTTACAGTTATTGAAGCAGTTTTTGTATGGGCTATTATCTTACAGTTATTGTAGCAGTTTTTGTATGGGTTGTTGTCTTACAGTTATTGTAGCAGTTTTGTATAGGCTGTTATCTTACAGTTATTGTAGCAGTTTTTGTATGAGCTGTTATCTTACAGTTATTGTAGCAGTTTTTGTATGGGCTGTTATCTTACAGTTATTGTAGCAGTTTTTGTATGGGCTGTTATCTTACAGTTATTGTAGCAGTTTTTGTATGGGCTGTTATCTTACAGTTATTGTAGCAGTTTTTGTATGGGCTGTTGCCTTACAGTTATTGTAGCAGTTTTTTTATGGGCTGTTATCTTACAGTTATTGTAGCAGTTTTTGTATGGGCTGTTATCTTACAGTTATTGTAGCAGTTTTGTATGGGCTGTTCTTCTTCTGCCTTTTTCTCCCCCAATGGAGCATAGGCCCTCAACCAACTCACGCCAAGTCGCTCTATCCTTCACCATTGCATGGAGCTCTCCCCATGTCCTCCCCATCTTTCTAACTTCATTCTCCAGCTCTCTTCTCCATGTGTTTTTTGGCCTTCCTTTATTCCTATGCCCCTGTGGGTTCCAATGCAAAGACATTCTAGTTATGCTTTTCTCCGTTTTCTCATTGTGTTTCCTATCCAACGCCAGCGTCTTTTCCTCACCTCTTGGTCCACTGGAGCCTGTTTAGTTCTCTCCCAAAGCTCTACATTAGTTATTCAATCATACCATTTAATTCCTTCTATTCTGCGCAGGCACCAGTTAATGAATGTTTGTAGTTTATTGGTGATTGCCTTAGTTGTTCTCCATGTTTCCGTCCCATACAAAGTACTGATTTGATATTAAAATAAAAATTTTTAATTTAGTATTTCTTTTAATTTTTTCTGACCTCCAGAAATTCCCTAGTGCTATGAAAGCTCCTCTTGCCTTTAGTATTCTTATTTTAATATCTCTATCAGTTCTTCCATCTTTATCTACATTACTGCCCAAATAAATGGGCTGTTACCTTACAGTTATTGTAGCGGTTTTTTGTATGGGCTATTGCCTTACAGTTATTGTAGCAGTTTTTGTATGGGCTGTTGCGTTACAGTTATTGTAGCAGTTTTGTATGGGCTATTGCCTTACAGTTATTGTAGCAGTTTTTGTATGGGCTGTTGCGTTACGGTTATTGTAGCAGTTTTTGTATGGGCTGTTATCTTGCAGTTTTTGAATAGGCTGTAACCTTACAGTTATTGTAGCAGTTTTGTATGGGCTTTTGCCTTACAGTTATTGTAGCAGTTTTTGTATGGGCTGTTGCCTTACAGTTATTGTAGCAGTTTTTGTATGGGCTATTATCTTACAGTTATTGTAGCAGTTTTTATATGGGCCGTTGCCTTACAGTTATTGTAGCAGTTTTTGTATGGGCTGTTATCTTACAGTTATTGTAGCAGTTTTTGCATGGGCTGTTGCGTAACAGTTTTTGTAGCAGTTTTTGAATAGGCTGTAACCTTACAGTTATTGTAGCAGTTTTGTATTGGCTATTGCCTTACAGTTATTATAGCAGTTTTTGTATGGGCTGTTACCTTACAGTTATTGTAGCAGTTTTTGTATGGGCTGTTACCTTACAGTTATTGTAGCAGTTTTTGTTTGTGTATGTGTGGGTTGTTATCTTACAGTTGGTGTAGCATGTGGGATGACTGAATCTAACATCTAGTTGTGTTGTGGGATGACTGAATCTAACATCTAGTGTTGTGGGATGACTGAATCTAACATCTAGTGTTGTGGGATGACTGAATCTAACATCTAGTGTTGTGGGATGACTGAATCTAACATCTAGTTGTTGTGGGATGACTGAATCTAACATCTAGTGTTGTGGGATGACTGAATCTAACATCTAGTTGTGTTGTGGCATGACTGAATCTAACATCTAGTTGTGTTGTGGCATGACTGAATTTGACATTATCTCTTTCTTTCAGCTTACTGGAGCTGACATGGCACTCTTGTGGTTTATTATCGTCTACAGTGCAGCCAACCTTTGTAAGACCGTTGTCATCATTATTTTAATGGTAGGTAATCTTTATTTCGCCATCATCGCCAGGAGTTCGTTATTTACTCTTGTTTTGTTATCAGATTTTTTTTTCATTTTTGGGTCAGCTCTAGGTCTCATTAAAAAAAAAAAAAGTTAGTTTAGTCTCTGCTTTTTTTTAAATAAAAAGCTGGTTTCTTCTGCTTCTTTCCTTTGCCTTAAATGAACGGTTGGCACATTGTGTGACAGCTAGACTGATGGCTGCATCTGTCCATCCAACACCATCCCATTTCAACTGCTTCTTCTTCTTCCTCAATTTCTCATTTACCGCTTCGGTGTCGAAGGAGATATAAGGTTCTACTTCCCGCTTTTCTGGCTCCTCCACCATAAACACATAGTGCTGTTGTAAAGTTTTTCTGATGCTATCTTTCCATCTTGTTCCTGGTCTACCTGGTGCTGTGCGTCCTTTTTGTTTCTTGAGTGTCTTATACGGTTTGGCATCACAAAGCATTCTCTCTAAGTGGGCTAACCATTTAATTTGCTGTCTGTGTGTGTAATTTAGAATTGGTTCTGTGCTGACTTGATCTTGTCTGGCCTCATTCCTGATTTCATCTCGTATGGTCACTCCTACAGCCTTTCTCTGACATCTTGTTTCAGCAAACCACTAATTAGTAGACTTTTACAATATGCTTGTTGGGGATGACCAGTGTTGCCACTTTTCTTTGACAAAAAACATCCAAAACGGCAAAAAATATCTAAAAACATCTAAATTTGTGTGGAAAACATCTGGGGAAAAACATCCAAATGGAAAGAGTCACAAATTACATATCAATTGATATGACTTACCCTATAGAATCATGTCCTCATCTTTACTGAAGTCTACCTTACAAGATTCATAGGATAAACTTAGCTTGGATGATGACGTTGAAGCTTCAGATCCAAAATGATTCTGGTATGCTTTAGCTCTTCCAATTTCTTTCAGTTTCCAATCAGGGAGCTGATAAGTGGAAAGCCTTTTCTTCTCTTATCAGGCCGAAATTTTATTTTTCAAGTTAGCATTTAAGAGGTCAAATTTTAGCCTGTTTCTTAGGGTAGATTTGATAAATTCACTCCAAATGAAAAACATCTACCATCTAAATGTCAAAAATGCCATCTAAATGCAAGAGAAAACATCTAAATCTGGATGTAAAGCATCCAAAGTGGCAACACTGAGGGTTACTGTGGGTTTGTTCTTCCTTGCTCCAAAATGGGATCCTGCGACTCACACGAGGATTTAACCTGAGGCAGTGGAAATCCTTATGTCAGTGGGGGGAAAATACATTAACCTCTTAACTCTTTCAGTCCTCTGCACTTGATTCTTCCATAATTTTCTGTCCCAAATTACTGTACCTTTAGAGCACAACATTCTCTTGAAGTGGGAATAATATAATAGGACAGAACAGGTTAATTTACCAACTGGAATGGAATGGGTTAAAGTTTCAGAAGAATGGGGCTGAAAAATTGAAGAAAAAATGTATATTATGAAACTGACATGAAATATTTCAACAGTGGTACAGAATAATTGAAGACATGCATATCAGGAATAGATTTTTTTTAAAAAGCAATTTATAGGTATTTAAAATAGTAAGTTACTTTTCAGTCACCCTGTATTTCTGAAGACAGTATGTTTAACTCTTTGAGTCCCAAGGAACGCATCATACGTTCATAGGTTCCTACCTAGAAGCCCAATGAACGCATGATGCGCCAATTTTATTACTTTCTTTACTACCCCCTGGGCCTGTGATGCTAAACCCCCTGGGACTCAAAGAGAGAGAAAAAAAAATTTTTTTAATTGAAAGTAATTATTTTTTTAATGTAGAAAAAGAAATGAAAAAAAAACAAAATACATGTTTGAATTGTGAACTTTTTCAGACAAAAGATTCCATGTCCTTCAAACTGCTGTTAAGTCTTGGTGTCAATGTGACCGCCCTGTTGTTTGCCCTGCCGTTTGCCTACAGAATTTCTACGCACTTCCAATGGAATTGTGCCGCCATTTGCATTTTTCTGTCCTGGTTCAGCTGCCTGATCAACTTGCAGAGGTAGTCTCTTGTCGTTCTGTGTGTGTTTGTATATGTGCTTGCATCTGTGTGTATGTGTCTTTTTTTTTTTTTTTCTTCTCCTCCTCCTTCTTCTTCCTCCTCCTCCTCTTCCTCTTTCCTCTTCTTCTTCTGCTTAGCATTTACCGACTGTGAGCTCTGGCAGAAAATTCAGGTTGTTCCTCAACTTCTAGACTTTGCTCTTTTTCTAGAACTTCCTTCCAGAATTTTTTTTAATGAACATCTGTTTAAAAAATTGGGCTCATCTGTGTGCAGATTGTTGGTTCCTCACCTCTCAGACACTGTCTGATTTCATCCCTAGCATCCCTAATCAGCTAGCTAATCAGTCCCTCTAGAGTAAGCCCTTTTTTGGGGGTCATTCCATGGGGGAGGGAACGGGGGTGTGAGCCCACCATTGTCTAATTAATCCACAGATGCAGTGTCTTTGTGTTTGCCTGCTTGCATGTGTGGGCGTTTCTGTGTATGAGGGGAGGATGCAGATGTCTTATTGGGAGCCGCTGTGATGTAGCGGCTAGATACTCGTCCTTTACTTACCAGTCACATTAACATGCAGATTTAATGTCTTGTTTCTCTCGCTCTCCTCCCCCCCCCCCCCCCACTCTTTTCCTTTTTTTAATGTGTGTGCGTGTATATGGTGTGAATTCATGTTTGCAATTGTATCATTAACATGCGGTTAATTTCTGTGTGTTTTGGGGGGATCAGTATCTGCAGCTGTCTTGTTATCCTATTGGAATATTGTTGTCTGGTCTTTCTCTCTGTGTATATGTGTATGTGTGAGAGAGAGAGAGAGAGAGCAAAAAGAGAGAGAGAGAGTGCGTGCCTGTATGTGTTTGTGCGTCCCCAAAATAGTCTCGTTAACCTATAGAAGTAATGTCTAATGTGTGTGGGTGCCTGCATGCGGGTGTCAGTGTCCACGAAGGTCTCATTCATCTACAGAGCTAATGTGTGTGGATGCCTGCATGGGGGTGTCAGTGTATACAAAGGTCTCATTAATCTACAGAGCTAACGTGTGTGGGTGCCTGCACACGGGTGTCAGTGTCCACGAAGGTCTCATTCATCTACAGAGCTAATGTGTGTGGGTGCCTGCACACGGGTGTCAGTGTCCACGAAGGTGTCAGTGTCCACGAAGGTGTCAGTGTCCACGAAGGTCTCATTAATCTACAGCGCTAATGTGCCAGTCTGTCTGCCTCAGGTTTGACTTGGTCGGCATCTATGTTGTCATGTTCATGGAAATTCTCAAGACCTTGGTGAAGGTGCTTCTGATATTCTCTATGCTCAACATTGCCTTCGGATTGGCCTTCTATGTGGTCATGTCACATGAGGTTAGTGCCCGGTGCTTTTGTGCTAGCTAGTGGTGCTTTTGTGCTAGCTAGCGGTGCTTTTGTGCTAGATAGCGTGGTGTGTGTGTGTGTGTGTGTGTGGGGGGGGGCGCTACATGTTGTGTGTGGTAACATGTTGAGTGAGGCTAGTTGCTGGCTGTGTGTGTGTGGTGTTGTTTTTGGTGATGGGCCTGGATGTGAGGTGATGTTTGTAGGGTGGGTATTTGATGATGTGGGTTGTGATTGTGTGAGCTGAGTAGCTGATCTTGTGTGTGTGACATTGTGTGAGATTATTTTTATGGTGATATGTGTGAGATTAGTAGCTGGTAATGTGTGTGTGGTAATGTATGTGTGGTGTAGTGGTGTGTGTGTGGTGATGCGTGTGAGGTGAGGTGTGTATAGCTGTGTGTGTGGGGTGCTGTTAATGTGTGTGAAGTGATATGTATGTGAGATGAGTAGCTGGTGATGTGTGTGGAGTGATGTCTGTGTGAAGTGAGTATTTGGGGATGTGTGTGTGTGATGGATTGAGTGTGAGGCGAGTTTCTGGTGATGTGTATGATGTAAGTGTGTAAGGTGATGTATGTGTGGTGATATGTGTCTGTGTGTGGTGATGTGTATGAGATGTGTGTGTGAGAGGATGTGTGTGTATGGTGACGTGTCTGTACTGATATGTGTGTGTGGTGATATATGAGTGTGGTGATGTGTTAGGTATGTGTATTAAGTGAGTACAGAGCTTTCAAGGAGGTAGGATGAGATGATTCAGGAGACGATGCTGAGCTGGCAACATTCAAAAGACTACAAAAACTTCATCTCAAAAGAGATATTGCCACATGTAAACGCTATATAGAAGCCAAAGAAGAATAGTAAACCAAAAGAAAACTGGTGTTATGGGTAACCACACGCTGAGGAAAATGCTGAAATTGGGATCCGAGCGCTTATGGACTTGTCCAATGTGCGATGGTAGTCTGTCGATTACCTAACTAATTAACTTCCTATCTAATTAACTACCTAACTAATTAACTACCTATCTAATTAAGTAACTAAATAATTACTGTCTTATTAACTGAATAATAAACTAAGTAATCACCTAATTAACTAATTAACTAACTGATTAACTAATTAGCTAACTAATTAACTAGCTGACTTATTAACTAATTAACTTATTAACTAACCAGCTAACTAAATAACTAACTAATTAACTAACTAACTAGCTGATAATTAACACTTGTAATGAACGTTTCAGGTCAACAAAGCCAGGACTCACTGGTATATGTCCGTCTACCACACGTTTATCATGTTGCTTGAGCTAGACTACCAGAGCACCTACAGCGACCCCCTCCAAGACAGCAATGATTTGTCATTACATTTCCCAACTGTGACTTTCTTACTTCTCATCATCTTCATTTTATTGATGCCCATTTTGCTGACTAATTTACTGGTAGGTCTGCTTGTCTTTGTTGTGTGGGGTGCAGCTGCTTGTCAGGTAGTCTTTTAGATTCGCTGTAATCCCTTCGCACCCGGTAATGCTATTAATCCTTACAAACAACAGTGTTACAGTCACTTATAAAGTAATTTTTGTACATTTTAAAAACTAATGTTATTTGAATCTATGTGGATATATTAAAGTGAGTTAGTAAAGATGAACAGAGTGAAGCATTAAATGGAATACATTTCCCAGGGTCTACAAATAATATTATCCAGTGATTCATGCTGCGACTTGTGTCACTGAAGTTTGGGGAAAAAATGTCACAGCGCGTGATAAACACTTGGTGACACAAACTGCCACTATTCAGATGTGGATCACCCGGGGACAGGTCCCTGAAACCCCTTTTAATCCATAGGTTGGGTTATATTAGGGCTCCCAGCAACAGCCAAAGTGGGGCTTTAAAATAACAACAAAATTGTGTTTGACATTTGGGACGCAGTGTTTCTTAATGTAAATTTGGCTTTTTTTTTTTTTAAATGGTTTAAAGAAACCCTCCTAAATGATATATTTAATTAACATACTCAAATCCTGTCCTCATTAACGTTTGTGCTGGCATAAGCACGGACACGAGAATTAACTGTATGTCTTGTAGACATGTCACTTTAAACAAGTCAGAAAAGTGATATTAACTCTTTGAGTCCAAGAAACGCATCATACGTTCATAGGTTCCTACCTAGAAGCCCAATGAACGCATGATGCGCCGATTTATTACTTTCTTTACTATCCACTGGGCCTGTGATGCTAAACCCCCTGGGACGCAAAGAGTTAACAGGGAATTGATCTTAACTAGAAGAATCGGTTATGCAGCTTCTCAGGGCAACAGAGTTATGTCCCTTTACTTAAAAAAAAAAAGTAAAAGCCCCCTTTTTTTGCACCAGTGTCTCGGGCATATGATGCTCGATATAGTTTATGCGCATCATCATCATGTGCTGTACCAAAAAGCATAACCAGTCATGTTTTGCCATCTCATACGATCACCACAAACACAGATCAGGTCAGTGCTGTCGTCTCATGCCTCTAAGTCTAGCCCTGTCTGCCCAGTATACCTGAAGGTGTGGAAAAGGGTCCTTCACTTTACTTTCACTCTACAGCTGATATATTTGTATCTTGTACTCTGTTTTTGCTGTTCTAAACTGCTAACAGTTGATACTTTCTAAACTGGGGACACTTTGCTGGGGTCCCCAGAACTCAAAGAGGGAATTTAAAAAAATATATATAAACAAATAATCACTGGCATCATGAGAGCTGATAGACTGAAATGGTTGGGGCATATTGAAAGTATGTCAAATGACAGAAAAATAAAAACTGTAACAACATGGGAGATGAATGGTCGTAGACCACAAGGCAGACCAAGAAGACGATGGAGAGATAATGTCCAGGCAGACCTGCAAACACTTGGTGTCACCAGCTGGAAAGAGAAGGTCAACCAGAGAGATGAATGGAGGTGGGTAATATCTGCAGCAATGAACCTCAAGGGCTCGGAGTGTTAAAGAAGAAGAAGAAGAAGAAACAATACTGGATAAATACATCACACTGTGTGGTCCACCTGCATAGCAAAAAGGCCTATCAGCTTGTTTGATATAATCTACATCAGGGCTTTTCAACTAGCGAACTGCGGGCCAGATGTGGCCCCCTGATCATGGTCAGATGTACTGTATTGAAGATCTTTCTATGCTTAGGCTCAGACTTTTGCGCCGTAACAAACGTGATAATCCTCATATTTCAACATTTTGGCCCCTGAGTAAATTTAGTTGAATAGCCCTGATCTACATCAATGGGGGAGATGCTGGGTGAAAAATGGAGAGGGAAAAAATGGAATTTGTGAATTGTACGTTGAAATTCATATCAAGTTAAAGGGTGTTTATGTCTGTATAATCCAGCAATTTTTTTTCTCTTGTTCTAGCACTTAATAATCCTCTTGGCGGCCCTGGTTATCCGTATTGTTTAAATTTACACCTTAGAACAGGACAAAATCGACTTTGCAGCCACATGTTCACACACTTTAAAATCGGTGAATCAGACATGTACACATGTGGATTGGCACCTGAGACCACAGATCACGTCCTCCAAGACTGTCTGTCCTTAATACAACGTATCATGGCAAAAAGTTTGGCCAAGAGAAACAACGGTGTAAGTCAAACTTTGCGGGTTGCTGAGTGAATTACAAAAGACACTGAAGTTCATACTAGAGACAACGGCTGACTGACTTTCTACCCCACCAGGACATCACACAAGCGATAAACACCCGATGACACAATGTGCCACCATGTGGGTAAGGATTGCTGTGGAGAGGTCCCAGAAACCGCGTTCAGACAATTGGCCATGTTTATGGCAAAAGCCAGGGCTTCAAAGAACAAAAACTTTCGTCCTAAAAAGGACGAAACTGGATAATTATGCACTAGAGACAACATTGCAGATATAGATAATCTATTTCAAGCAAATGAAAAAAAATAGATTTGAATTTAAACTGAAAACATTGTTTTGAACATTATAATATGTGTGCTTTCTAATGTTTATATTTTTTTTATCTATGCACTCTCGTGATGATACATTGTGTTCTGTGTACATTGTGTTTGTGACTAAGACTTTATGTTACACTGATGTCGACAGATTGGTCTTGCCGTTGGAGACATTGAAGCTGTACAGAGGGAAGCCAGGCTGAAACAACTTGCCACTCAGGTCAAACTGACCTCATGTTGTTTAGTTTGATTGTGACTATTTTTCTGTCTTAACCAAGCTATTATGTCTCTGTTGGGTACTTGTATCTGCTTGTCATGGCTTCAAATCTCTCATGGAACATTATTGATTGCATCTACTACATCATCATCATCAGGTGCCTTGCCAACTGGCAGGGCGTGGAGTGACTTATCCTGTCTAATATCTATTCTAAAACAATATTGATTGTCTACTTATCCCTGTCTAATATCTATTCTAAAACAATATTGATTGTCCTCTTATCCCTGTCTAACATCTCTTCTAGTACGATATTGATTGTCTACTTATCCCTGTCTAACATCTCTTCTAGAACAATATTGATTGTTTACTTATGCCTGTCTAATATCTATTTTAAAACAATATTGATTGTCTACTTATCCCTGTCTAATATCTATTCTGGAACAATATTGATTACTTATCCCTGTCTAACATCTCTTCTAGAACAATATTGATTGTCTACTTATCCCTGTCTAACATCTATTCTAGAACAATACTGATTGTCTACTTATCCCTGTCTAACATCTCTTCTAGAACATATTAATTGTTTACTTATCCCTGTCGTACATCTATTCTATAACAATATTGATTGTCTACTTATCCTTGTCTAACATCTATTCTAGAACATCATTAATTATATCTACTTATTCCTGTCTTACATCTCTTCTAGAACATCATTGATTGTGTCTACTTGTCCCTGTCTGATATATCTTCTAGAACAACATTGTGTTTAAATATCCCTGTTTTCCGTTATCTTCTAGAATATCTTTGATTGTCGGGAGATGTGAACCAGCAGCATTGCACATGGTTATAAACCATAAGTGCTCTGCCACCAGTACGGATGTCAGCCTGTGTCGCCGTCCGCACAAAACTGTATCTACAGCAACGTTCCTCCATTTACCCCTAAGTGTTAACTCTGGTACCCATTTCCTAGAGGCTGGGTGAACCCCAGGAACGGCCCGGTTTCGAACACTAGCCGCAGGCTGTAGCGAGTTGCAGCTGGATTTGAAAGCGAGTCTTCTATCGACTATCACTGATTTTTTTTCTACTTATCCCTGGCTCATTTCTAAAACAATATTATTTATTGATTGTGTCTGTGACCAGGTTTCTTTCCACTCCGGTGCTGAAAGTGTATCCAAATATTTGCGAGGTTTGACAGATGAGAGATTGAAATTCTACCCAAACAAATTCTCCACCGTGTGGATGATGGTAAGTAGTTCCATTTACATTTTTAAAAGTTCATCAGTAGCCATTGTTTTCATGGCCCTAGTTAGAATTTGCATTCCTCGATTGTGGACTCTACTTATTTTGATGTAGAGTATGACATATGCTAATGTTGCCAGTGTTGCAATGCCATATTCAAGGACTGGTCCTACTTGTCCAGTGTACAGCTTCTCGAAAAACTTTCTCATCAGCTGCCCATGTTGTACCAGCAAGCTTTTTCTTGATTGCCATTCTTTGCCTTGCTCTTGCTCGACTGGCCTCTACCTGTGTTGTCTTCCATGCCAGACAGCACAAATGGGTATGTATAATACCTGGGTATTTTGGATTGTACTTTTAATGTAGTTTTTTCCCCCCACCAGTTAGCACTAGCTTAACTGGCTGAGAAGGAGAACACAGTGCATGTTGTTTTCCCTTCACTAATATTCACTAGCCATGTTTTTACCCATTCCTCAAACACTGATAAGTCTTGATGTGTCATTTTATTAGCTGTACTAATACTTTCTTCGCTAATCCATATAGCAAAGTCTTCTGCAAAGGACGGGGGTATGAACTCTGGCTGGAAAATTATTATTATTTGAAAGGGCATTTATATATATGCAGAGAACAGTGTTGGTGGCAATACTCCCCCTTGGGGTTACACCTTGCTCTAACACCCAATTTTTTTTTTTCAACTTGTCCTTGTACTTTGCATCGGCAACATTTGAACTGCTACACTTCTTGAAGGAATTGGCGATCTGCATCTTCACATTATCCCTGGCTTTTTTCACCCAGGTACAGACTCCTCCTGTAGCTGGTTTCTTCAGACTACCTGCTGGTGTCAAACTGTCCCCAGAAGACTTCATCCATTGGTTCTGTTCATCTCTCAAGGCAACTCTAAAGAGTTTTGTGAATGCTGACATCAAGTGGTTGAATCTTAGTGGTTACAGGAATTCCTAATTCGACAGGTGTGAAAAAATGAAGGCAAAAACCAGCAAGAAAACTGTTGCAGCGATAAAGAACTGTTAAATTTCTTTCCCCATTTTATGCACCTCTGAATCGCCATTCTCAAATGAGGCCCTGTAAGAGATATATATTTTTTTTTTTTTTTAAATCATTTCGTAAATATCCACTACTATTGTATAGGGCAAACCCCTTTTTTTAGACTATGTTTTTTCAAAAAAATAAGTGCGTCTTATACAATGAGGAAATATGATGCAATTTCACAGGTGTACAGTAAACTGGTGTCTGGAGGAGAAGTGTATACCCGGGACACCTACGCCACAGAGGGGGACACTGTCGTCAACAGTCAGCTAGCCAAGACTAACACCCAGTGAGCTTCATGTTGTGTCTTTATATCAGATCTCTTGTACCACTGGCCTACCAGACCACTGGTCAAGGGTTCAAATCTCTATCTAAATAGATTTTTTCCCCCTCCAAAATTCTTCATCTTCTTTGCATTCAACAGCTGTAAACTCCGGCGGAAAGTTCTGGGTCTTCATCCGCCTCTAGATTTTAATCTGTTTCCAGAACCGGAGTGCTGCGCTCCCATCTGTTTTACACATCAGACTTGAATGTGTGTGTAGAATATTGGTTCCTTACCTCTCAGGCAGATGCAGTCTGACTTTCAAGGAAGCTCCCGCTTAGTCGACTCTTAGAACACTTTTGTTTGGGAGCAGTAGGTGTATTTTTGTTTCCCCCACATTTGGGGCCCCAGAACACACACCAGCCAAAACTTGGCTCCAAGGTAGACCTATCCTAATATGAATAGCAGAAAGTTTCCAGGAAGTAAAGGTGGCTTGGGTGGCTTGGCCCATTACCTGTCTAAAAATATGGGTCTAACATCTTAACATGAAAAGGGTCTCGTCTAATTTATGTGATTGTAGTTTGTATGTGGTGTTTGTAGTTTGTGATTGATCTGTTTTCTAATTTCTATGATTGTAGTTGTTGCCTGATCTCTTTTGTTTAATTTCCGTTATGGTAATTTGATTTCTTTTATCTAATTTCCATGGTTTTTGTTTGAACTAGGGCTGTACCGAATAGTGATTTTCACTATTCAGCCGAATACGAATAGCGGGACCAACTATTCGGCCAAATACAAATACGAATAGTGTATAATGTATAAAATATATCTATTAAAAACGCGCACATGCGCGCGCGCGCGCACACACTCACACGTCAAATGTAAGCTGAACTTTTACTTCACATAAAGTAGCACAGAATAGTCATCTTCTTCTTTAGCATTCTGAGCCCTTGAGGTTTACTGCTGCAGATATCACTCGTCTCCATTCATCTCTCTGGCTGGCCTTATTCTTCACAATTTGTGACACCAGTTGTTTGCAGGTCTGGCTGACATTATCTCTCGAACTTCTTTTTTGTCTACCTCGCTGTCTACGCCCATTCCTCACTCAGGTGTATACAGTTTTTACTTCTCTGTCATCTGACATGCATTCAATATGCCCCAACCATTTTAGTCTGTTAGCTCTCATGATGCCAGTGATCAATTGTGATTTAAACATATTATGTTTTACGTTGTTGCTTCTCACTCTCCATTCCCCGCTGTTAGCATCTTTGATGGGTCCAAAGATTTGTCGTAAGACTGTTTTCAAAAACCTGTAATACGGCCTCATCTCTTTTATTTCTGCTTCAAGTTTCACTGGCCATATAAAACGACTGGTCTTATCAACATTTTATATATTTTGATCGTGGTGTTGCGAGACAGACACTTTGACTTTAGCAAATGTTGAAAGGCATAGTATACTTTATTTCTAGATTGTATTCTAGATTGTATTTCTTCTCTCAGCATGTTAGAGCAGTTGAAGTTTGCACCCAAGTACTTATATGTTTTTGTTTGTTTGATTTTCATATTATCGACTTGAATGTGGCCATAGTTTATATTCTTTCCATGTCTAGTTAGTATTTGTACAGAATAGTAAACATTTAAAAACATTTTATGTTTTGCATCCTTCAGTCAGTCTGTGGCAACTAATAACTAGGAATGAAAGAATCCTAAGTATTATAACAAGTAACTAAACTTGGAAATTGTCACTGACAGCTTAGTCAATGCATGAAAGCTGCATTAGCTTTCAACAAAAACAATCGTCCCATGTTGTCAGCATTAAGACCGTGTATGCAGAAGCGGGTATGAGGTAACTATTATTCGTATTCGGCTTGACTGCAACTATTTGGCAGAATACCGAATAGTCAATAGGTCCACTATTTGGCCCCAAAGCGAATACGAAACGAATATTCGGTACAGCCCTAGTTTGAACTCTTTTGTCTTTCTATGGTTGTATTTTGTGTCTGATCTCTTTTGTCTAATATCCATGATTTTTGTTTGAACTCTTTTGTCTAATTTCTATGATTGTAGTTTGTGTCTGATCTCTTTTGTATATTTTCTATGATTGTAGTTTGTGTCTGATCTCTTTTGCCTTATTTATATGATTGTAGTTTGCATCTGATCTCTTTTATCTAATTTCTATGATTGTAGTTTGTGTCTCATATCTTTTGTCTAAACTGTTCATTTGTAGTTTGTTTCTGATCTTGTTTGTCTAATTTTTATGATTTGTAGTTTGTTCAAAACTGCTTTCCCATAATGAATTTAAATAATGCATACACACAAAAATACTATTGTTTGTTTCTGTATTCGGAGCCCCCGTGGTGTAGTGGATAGATGCTCACCTTTTGGCTGGGAAGGTAAAGTCGGCCAGAATTTTGTCGACACATCACCTACGAAGTGTAGATTTGTCTTTAAAATATTGGTCTAGTACTCTGCACGCAAACACTTAAGAGCTTGTAGAGTTTGCTGAACTAGACCAGGAGCTTCCACAAATTTCCAGTGTTTTTTTGTGTGTGTTTTGTCTTCATTATGTAAATTCTACTTTTGGTCTGATCTGTTTCACCAAATTGTTGCCATTTTAGTTTGTGTCTAGGGGGTTGCGTGATCTTGAGGTGTAGTGTCCACCTCGAGTTCTGGAGGTTCCAGGTTTAAGTGGAGTTCTAGTAATTTCCCCTGGTCTCTGGGTATTGAGATCGGACGCCCATGTGTCTTGTTATTTTAAAAAATCCCTTGGCAGTTAGAAACTGAAAAAAGTAGCCTAACGTCGCTGCTGGCTCAAAATTTGCAGTTACAAATCTACCCGCAATATTTCAGGATCCTTGCTGGTGCTACGGAGCCCGTGCACTGCTCTGAGCTGCTTCAGACTCAGACGAGTTAGCGGTAGAAGAGAGCACTTATGGGTTACTACCCTTGTGCCATGATGTTGATCTATTGTTCAAACCTCAAGTTTGTGTCTGATCTCTGTGGTTTCACAAGAGGAGGCAGCTCAGACACAAACTACAATCACAGAAATTCTTTCTTATGTTAAATTATTCCTCTTGCTGTCTGGTATCTCCTGCCACATTGCCCCTAATGTATGTGTTTCGCCTACTAGACAGCAGTCACAATTCCCTAATGTCTGTGTTTCGCCTACTAGACAGCAGTCACAATTCCTTAATGTCTGTGCTTCTCCCAGTTGACAACAGCCACATTTCTCTAATAATCTATGTTTCTCCCACATGACAACAACCACATTTCTCTAATGTCTGTGTTTCTCCCACATGACAACAACCACATTTCTCTAATGTCTGTGTTTCTCCCACTAGACAAAAGCCACATTTCTTTAATGTCTGTGTTTTTCCTACTAGACAAAAGCCACATTTATCCAATGTCTGTGTTTCTCCCACTAGACAGCTACATTTCTCTAATGTCTGTGTTTTTCCTACTAGACAAACACCGCATTTCTCTAATGTCTGTGTTTCTTCTACTAGACAACAGCACATGTCTCTAATGTCTGTGTTTCTCCTCTCCCACTAGACAACACCCACATTTTTCTAATGTCTGTGTTTCTCCCACATGACAACAGCCACATTTATCTAATGTCTGTGTTTCTCCCACATGACAACAGCCACAATTCTCTAATGTCCTTGTTTCTCCCACTAGACAACAGCCACATTTCTCTAATGTCTGTGCTATCCCCACTAGACAACAGCCACATTTCTCTAATGTCTGTGTTTCTCCCACTAGACAACAGCCACATTTCTCTAATGTCTGTGTTTCTCCCACTAGACAACATCCACATTTCTCTAATGTCTGTGTTTCTCCCACTAGACAACAGCCACATTTCTCTAATGTCTGTGTTTCTCCCACTAGACAACAGCCACATTTCTCTAATGTCTGTGTTTCTCCCACTAGACAACAGCCACATTTCTCTAATGTCTGTGTTTCTCCCACTAGACAACAGCCACATTTCTCTAATGTCTGTGTTTCTCCCACTAGACAACAGCCACATTTCTCTAATGTCTGTGCTATCCCCACTAGACAACAGCCACATTTCTCTAATGTCTGTGTTTCTCCCACTAGACAACAGCCACATTTCTCTAATGTCTGTGTTTCTCCCACTAGACAACAGCCACATTTCTCTAACTAATGTCTGTGTTTCTCCCACTAGACAACAGCCACATTTCACTTATGTCTCTGATTGTTTCTCCCACTAGACTAAATGACATACAAAACAAGCTAGACAAGAACATTGCATTGATGAACCAGATCATGAAGCGACTACACATGAACATTGAGGATGACATGTGGGACGAAGGAGGAACAGATGTGGACGGCATCGGAGAAATAGAAGAGACCAAGTCAAAGAAGGTCAAAGAACCAAAGGCTCACGGAGCTAAACTGTGAGAACAAGCAACAAAGTAAGTGACAAAACACAAGAGCCAGGTTCGAAACTAACAAAAGGAGAAGAAATGTGAGACTAGTAGACAGATAAACACAGTACCCATTGTTGTGATATTTGTTTACGGAATCTCTACAGTTGTGTTCAGTATGATTTTATATTGTTTCAGTGTTTACCAATGATGTCCCTTCTTTTACTCCCCCCCCCCCCTTCCCCAAATCTGTAGATAATACTATATGTTATGTTGTAGATATGTTAGTTTAAGCAGTTTTCCATGTTCATCACTTGTGTCTGCATGCCATTAGTACAACAATCAATATATATACACACACATATAAATATCTAAATATATATATGTGTGTATATAAATATGTACATTTGTGTATGTAGAAGAAACACACAATCAGGGAGTTATGAATGTTGTTAATATGTATTTATAGAAATTAATGAATATTTTGAATATACATGGAAATGCAAGCTTTTGAGTACACACAGGGAAATACAAATATTTTGAATATAGAAATACAGAGAATTTTGAATTTTTTTTAAATATAGACATACAGAGAAATATTAATATTTTGAGTATAGACATACAATGAAATATGAATATTTTGAATATAGACATACAGTGAAATATGAATATGTTAATATACACATACAGCGAAATATAATTATTTTGAATATAGACATACAGTGAAATATGAATATTTTTAAAATAGACATACAGTGGAATATGAATATTTTTTTAATGAACATACAGACAGTAATGTGGATGTTTTTAATTTACATATACAAAGAGAGAGGTATATTTTCAATATGTACATATTTAACAATGTGATACAACTTTATTGAGAATAAATGTGTATATATATTCTTTATTCACTAGTTTGTGCATTTTTTTCTTTTCAGTTTCTTTTGTTTGTATAAATATGATTATTGTTTGCTGATGTCATTTGTGAGTGATGCTGGCATATAGATGTATTTTCTCTGATCCAGCAGAGTCTGTAGCAGTAAGCAGGCGGATTGGTTGATTCTGTCCTACTGTATCTCTGTCAGTACTGAATGAGTCACCATATGTTTCTTGGTGTTTACAAAGTAAACAATATGCTGTCTGCTACTATAGACACATGTTATATTAACTCGGTAACATCATTAAGTCGGCTCTGTGGCTAAGTCGATGCGAGCGCTTTGTAATGCCGGGATGCCGGGTTCGATCCCAGCTGCGGGCCATGCACCTTGCATTGGTTTTGACTGTCCAGAAAGCAATGGCAAATTACTGGACATGAATTTGCCTAGAGAAACCACACAACAGCCAGGGGCTGTTGGGGTTGGTTCTGCAACGTCCTGTAAAGGATATGCAACTTACCTGAACCTGAACATCATCAAGTGCTTTACCGACTGGTGTGGGTGATCATGACCCTACACAACCTGAGAATTGCTACTGCGTGTATCTGTGTGTGCATTGACACTCTTCCATGCCATGACAAAAGGCTGTCAAGAATCTTCTTACGTTATCTTTGTCTCCGACTGGTGTGGGTGATCATGCCTCTCCACAACCTGTGAACTGCAACCATGTGTATCAGTTCGTGTGTTAACACCCCTCCATGTCAGCTGTCAAGAATCTTTTCACATTGTCTTCCTCCATCTCTCTTTCCACAGATCTTTTCATATGTCACAACATGTTCCAATTTTCCTCTTCCCATAACATGACTAAAAAATGGTAACTGTCTCTTTCTGCTCAACCAGTGTAGTGACACTTCTTTTGCATTTGGGTCATAGATAATTTTAAGGTGTAAGCGTTTTCCCGTCAACTAATAGAAAAGCGCCATAGAATAATTATTCCTTTTTTTTAGCAGCACAAGGTTAAAAAAACAAGTTACATACAGTGATGCCTAGAACACAGCAGAGTTTAATTAGACGTACCTATGCGAAGACAGAATATTTGTGGTTTATATAGTTTTTAGAACCTGTTTGAATGAAGGTCAGTTCAACTTAAACCTCCTAGCCAGAATGGAACTTAGTCCTACGTCGAGGAGATTATGTATAAAGTTGAAGAAATAACTGCTTGAGCTGGAAAAGTTCCTCTTCTTAAAGTCCATGCCATGTGGCATTGGTAGTCAACCTTCTGCCTTGTGTTCTTTCTGTCAAGTCTGACACAGATGATCCTCCATGCCATGTGGCATTGGTAGTCAACCTTCTGCCTTGTGTTCTTTCTGTCAAGTCTGACACAGATGATCCTCCATGCCATGTGGCATTGGTAGTCAACCTTCTGCCTTGTGTTCTTTCTGTCAAGTCTGACACAGATGATCCTCCATGCCATGTGGCATTGGTAGTCAACCTTCTGCCTTGTGTTCTTTCTGTCAAGTCTGACACAGATGATCCTCCATGCCATGTGGCATTGGTAGTCAACCTTCTGCCTTGTGTTCTTTCTGTCAAGTCTGACACAGATGATCCTCCATGCCATGTGGCATTGGTAGTCAACCTTCTGCCTTGTGTTCTTTCTGTCAACTCTGACACAGATGATCCTCCATGCCATGTGGTGTTGATAGTCAAACCGCTGCCTTGTGTTCTTTCTGTCAACTCTGACACTGATGATCCTCCATGCCATGATGTCAAACTGTCCAGCATCTGTTCTCTTTCCGACTGTCACGATGTACTTCAGTTTTCCCCTTCTCATCACATGACCAAAGAATGTAGATTGTCTCCTTCTGATGTGGGCAATCAGTTCTCTCTGTGAGTCAGGTTTCTTTCAAAACCTTTTCATTACTTTTTTTTATCTTCCAGGGTATTCTCATCATCCGTCTATAAAACCACATCCCCGCAGCTTCCAAATAATTGTTCATTAATCTACCGTCCATGATCCACTTCCGCATATCAAGACAAGATTTATATAGCTTTTAAGAAAAAAATTAACTAGCCAATTTTTACATGAACAAATCTCCAGTCGTGTACCTGTTCCATAAAAATGATCAAAACAGGAAAAGAACCAGAGAGACACAAGACCCTATACAGGCAAGCAAAGGTGTCAGGCTGGAAGCCTCGGCCATATGAGGGCTCCCGCATGAGAAAGTTGTTGGGAGAGAGTAAGTACAGCTCTCCTGATCTGGCTTCCTTATGTAATGTTCTGTTATCACAATCGACGTCTTTGCAGATTGGGTATCTGCTGAGTCCTCGGATGGAGCAGCCGCTCCAAGACACCTCTACTGATTGCTCCCATGAGGAGTTGGTTATGGTATCTCGTAACTTTGCCTCGAAGATGACGAGACGTGCATCACCAAGCTTAACACCTTGGTCATGTAGTCGTGTTGGCATCAGAGATTCAACATTATCTCCCAACCTAGTCCGTACAGCGTTGATGATATCAGCCCTCTCCAGGCTTCTTGCTGTTTGCATTGGTGCGTTAATTGCCAGATAGTCTGCTCCAATAACCATTTACTCCTGCATGCCTACGTGTGTAGATTCAGATGATGGAGGTTAACTGTGACTTCCAAATGTCTTCTACCCCCGCTACATCTGCAGCATCCTTTGTTCAAAATATATTGGTGTTACCTTTCCTGTGGAGCAACTAAGGTAGACTTAGCGAGAGATTGTGCTGTACAAACAACATATGGTCTCAGTAGTTCTGGCTAGGCATTGTGCAATAGATAGGCTGTGGCTCTTACACACGACGACACTGTCAGTTAGAAAATTATACATCAACGGACATACAATCGGAGTTGGAACTCTTAGCTGGCTGCTAAAGATGTGGACGGAACACCTATGGGAATACCCTGAGTGGTGTTTTGTGTCAGTTGCTGAACTAAACTATCTTCTTGAAAGACAGAAAGGAGCCCACAGCACATGCAAGAAAAGAAATAAAATCACAGATGTTGAGAATTTACAAGATCGCATGACATTTCATTAGCGGTTGCAGCTTTTTGAGAACTGTAAGGATGTTTTATATATAGAGTATCGTGGATTTGAGCATATGAAGGATTTTCTGTCGGTGACAAACCAGTATGTGAGGTAACGAGCAGACTGATAGATTAGCTGCTGCCGCACTTCTGGGAGGTGAGCTACTATAGTGGACAGTGAGAGCTCCCTGGGATCAAACAGGGAGTATGCATTCATTGAAAGACTAATTCAACTGGTTGGGGGGGGGGGGGGGGGGGGGGGTTAGGTTCTGGAAGATGTTTAAAACAGGAGGAAAATTAGACGGACATCGGGTTACAACTGGCACTATCAACATGTCCACTCTTCGTTGGCTTTTGAAGAGGGGGACGGAGCACATGTGGGAATGCCCCGAGAGCAGTGTAATCAATTCTTAATTCATTTATTCATATAAAGAGTAAAAAAAAACCGAGAAATAGTCGGTTACATAAAATTGTATTTATGTGAAAAGACAAGAAAATAAGACAAACGTGGCAAATGACAGAGAGGTAGATAAGCCACTGGGAAAAATGGTTAAACGTTAACGGTCGAGCGGGTTCACGTTATTGCACTGGGTGTTATATCTCCACATAGAACAGCTAGACGCCTACTGAGAGTGTCACATGAAGCACGAACATCGTAGCTCCGATGACGATCCTCAAGGATTTCATTTGTGATCCGAACGAGACGACCGTTAAACAAATACTCGACCTGAGACAAATGGGTAGTGCAGTGACTAGGCGCCTGCCTCGGTTCAAATCCACGTCGAAGCAGCATTTTTTTTAATAACTAGGAAATGGCATGGGAAGTAAAAGCGACCAGTGTTCTGTTACCTAACCCATCTGTGTGTGTGTGTCGTTCACCCCCCCCCCCCCCCCCCCAGGACAGCACAACGAGCGACGAACACCCGGTGACACAAAGTGCCACCATTCGGATGAAAATCCCCCAGGCACAAGTCCCAGAAATCACTTTCAACCGTTTGGTTATATTAGGGCCCCCGACCACAGCCGAAAAATTGCGTCCCAGATTGGTACAGGAAGCTTAGTTCAACCCAACCCATCGATCGACTGCCAGTTGGTCTTTAAACAAAAAATAC